GGAGAATATGTCATATAACAGCGTTTGATTTACTCTTTAGGATTAGTAAAACATTTCTAAGATTTAATGTAACTGAATCTTGATTTAGAGTTTAACTTTATTGTGTAGTTCTTTATTCCACATTTCTGCAATTGAGGTCCCAGTAATCATCTTAGTTCAAGCCCATGTTGCCTTGAACTTAGCAAATCATTCCCATTTTCTCTAACTGCCTCTGGCTCTTAATTGCCTTGAAATTGCAGTGGGTTTGTAATCACTCACCTGATTTCCATTCAGTAATCACCGTCAGCAGAAATATTTGCCCTTTTTTTTAACCCTTCCTTATCAAATCCTCCTCCTGTTTGTGTGCCCTTCTTCATTAATGTAATTGCCACACTACCTAACCAATTATTGTATTTATTTTAGATGAAATACACTTTACTCTTCTTACAAGCTCCTAAGCGTTGGAGTTTGAACTCTTAAATCAACTTTTTCTGTGCAGGCTGGAGCACTTAAATTAATTTGCAGCACTCTACTCTTTCTGTTTGACTTTTACAAAAAAAAAACATACATATTTGTGTTAAATTATACCTGTCTTCCCGTGCTGTAAACACTCAATACATACATATTTACAAAAAAAAAAATAATAATAATAATAGAAATAATTTTTTGAATGCATTTTGTATTAGAACCAAAGTAAAATTCCTTGTTTGTATGCCCCAACCTAGTAAACAAAGTTGATTCTGATTGGGATTAGACCTAAAATTAGATGCATAAATTATTTTTTTTATATAGTCTCTCCAACATTACAAAGAGGGTGATTGAACAGAATACAAAAGAAGTGATTGAATTCTAAAGTAAGTCTTTACAGTATGTGAAGAGCGAACAGGAACAATTCATAACAAAAACATTAGGTTTCTTTGAAATGCTTTATAAAATATTTAGCCATGCGAATGCAGGCTTAGATAAAGCTTGTCTTAGCAGTTAATTCAGTTATAAAAGTCAGAGGAAAGAAGAGAAAGAAATGCAAATGAGCAGTCATGAAAAAGAAACTAGCTGCAACCCTGTTGCTTCCATTGTTCTTTTCAAAAGCACAAAAACATCTTTTAAACAACAGCACTTTTCAGAGGATGACAGAAAAAGGAATAAGCTGATTTAAATAACAACAATTGTGTAAGGCCATAAATGGTCTATGACTATTCTGCTTATAGTCTGCAGTATAAAAATATGATTTTATAAATGCAGTAAATATCTACTTTAGGAGAAAAAATGTAATTTATATTAGAATGTGTCTTTTATTTGTCTTAATTTGAGTCATATGTGTCAAACAGACACAGGAACCAAATTATGTAAAATGTTCATACACAATTTGAAGCTTTTAAAATGAGACCCAAATTCATAAACTATGGTTAAATATTAGGGCTAGACAAAAGTTGGTTTAAAGTTGCAAAATAAAGTAGGAACTGAGAAAAGCATCAGTATGAAGATGTTGGTATTAGCAGTTTATCTAGCTCCTGCATGTAGCCAGAAAAGTTGCAACTTAAAGCTTCCATATAACACAGTTTTCTTTTTCTTTTTATGTAAAATGCTTTTGCAGGAGGGCATGAAAGAGGGGGTAATTTATAACCAGGGTTAAACAGAGTCCCTAATGTTTTTTTTTTGCTGTTTAAAGAGAGGTGTTAGCAATACAGCACATCTACCTGCTGCCACAGTTGCGTGCTCTGTAGGAATAGTAGCCAATGTCTGTCTAGAAGACTAATAATTGCCAAGTAAATCCATGGTCTGATTTACACAAGTGATAATGAGCATGCTGGATTTTTTAAAGTAGAGGTAAATTATATGGGAGTAACAATATGTTGCAAAAAACTCCTTTAATATATTTACAAATGACTGAAATCTTGTTGTCATTTATTAAATGTTCTGTTTTTAATAGTGCAATACCCTTGCACATGAATGAATAGTTTTCAACCCTAGGATCCGATGTTAAGACTGGTAACAGTGGTGCAACGAACACAAAACTCTCGGTTCAGATTGCATCACTGTTTTGAGTCACAGATCATTTTTTGGATCAGCAGAAGAAAAGAAAAGACAACTATAACTTTGCTCTTCATTTATTTTGTGGAAGAAATATAAAAACATTTTGCTTATTTAAAAAAACAAAATACTCAGCAAGCTAATCCAGATCTTATATAAAAAAATAAAATTAGTTAAAGTGAAATATAAAGCATAAAACTTTCTTCAAAACCCTTTAAAAAGTCATAGTACAAAAAATATAATATATAGTATTATGGCACCTTCTCACTTTAAACAATGGCACTGAATTAAAAACTAAAAATGCAATGTATTTGATATCTTCTTTTCTAAAATATGAAAATCAAATTCAAGAATAGCCTAGAATGAAGCTATAAAAAGAAATCAGCTCTGAGACTATAATTCCAATTTTTTTTCCAAAACAATAAGGACGTCTACACTGTCTGAAAGCATGGACTCTTTGCAGTCACTATGTCCCCTGCTATGGAGAACACTCTCGTGATGGGACTAAAATACCTGGCACAGCCAGATAGTGCCTTGCCATTATGGCACTGGGATGGTTACATTTAGAATATGTTTAAAGCCCTTGTTTTGCATGACGGAGCTCATGTCTGTAGCTATAAAAACTCTGATAGCGTTTGTTGTAGCTTTAGCCTTAAGTGACTGTTTAAATACTGTTTAAATGCTGTGGTGATAAGTGGTCGTTGAGGAGCACTTGTCTTGGATCCTGTGGCGCATACCGATATAGATGATGTCACTTCAAAATGGGTGCCTTGCAAAACATTTTCCCACTCTCAATCCTTAAATTGGACCCTTCCCTTAGGGTGACAATGTTATTAGAATTAGGAGTTTGCCCCAAAATCGAAGGGTTGGCAATTCAAGCCCGGCTTGGGCTTTTGGTGCCGTTGTGTCCTTACGCAAGACACTTTACCTGCTTTGTCTATTGATGGTGGTCAGAGTGGCTGGTGGCGCCAGTGTTTACAGCAGCCTCGGTACTGACAGTGGTCCCCAGGGCAGCTGTGGCTACAATGTAGCTTGTGTGTGAGTGTGTACGTGAATGGGGGGAAGTTTAAAGCCCTTTGGTCTAGTCACCTGACTTGAAAAAGTGCTATATAAGTAGATGCCATTTACCATTCCTTCAACCTCGTTGTATTTGACAGGGAAGCCAAAATGGTCCCATACAGTACATGCGACTTATAGGATACAGATTATTATTACTGATTATTGCTCTGTTTTTCTTGTTTGGACTGAACAGCCACTCTCAAAATAAACAGGCCTCTTTATTTATCTATTTATTTTAGTCAACCAATCTGTGGAATACTTGCGTGCCGAACAGTGGACACAAATGCACAAGGAAATGCCCTAGTAACCGTAAATAATAAAAGAAGGCTGTGTTTTTCAGCTTCCAATCATCTAAATCTCTAACTCAGGTTACACAAGCACACGCATCATTATTCAAACCGCCAAACATATAGCTCATACAAAACAACAGACATCAGTGACCCAGAAGAACGATGGCTTGGTCATAGATTTGCATCCGACTGGGAATGTGCGTAAGAGGATGGGCCTCCAGATACCCTAAAACATTAGTTCTCCAAATACATATTGTCAGTAATACTGGCTCGCATCAAAAGTTTTTCAGGAAAACTGAGTTAAAATCTGGTAGCCTCAGATTTAAGTCTGTTTAATACATGGATTTTTGGTTATTGCTCTCTGTATCTTTTAATCAAGTCTTTTCTGATATGCCACAGTACAATAGAGTTATAAAAGTACGTTTAATGTGTGCTCATATTGCATCAGGAAATCTCTGAAATATATGTTTTAATTGCCAAAAGCCCTCTGTTGAGATGGTGTCTGTGGGTTTTTTGTGTCCACTTGAATCTGCTAAAATCATCTTTTTTGCTACACTCTGTTCTTATTCTCTTGTGCTCTTGGTCTCACTTGGATTTGACACCTATCTATGAATCTGACAGCAATATTTTACAGTTCCTTTTCGTCCATTTCTCCTTTGCCACCATGTTAAAGTGTCAGTACAATGTTGCTCTGCTAAGGTGTTAAGTGTTTTGCCACGATGAACTCTCTGCAGGAAGAAGGGTGTCCATGTGTCACAGATGACTCACGGATGCCATAGCAACCACAGCATAAAAAAGGCAATAGAAGCCATCTGTTTCACATACATATTGTAAATATTTATGTGCATGCGTTCAAGTGATACTGGGGAAAACTGAATTTATGAATGGATCATGAAAATATCAAACTGCATGTAATAGTTTTAATTTCACATATTCTGATTTATTAACATAAAGAGATGGTTTTCATTACTAGATGATTTTGATTTAACCATTTTATTATGTACAACTTGTTTTATCCCATTTAAAAACGGTAATTTTTTTGTTTTATTATTTTACTTCGAGGTGAAAATATACGAATAGTTAAAATATTATTATTTAACCAAAGTAAAACCTGAACGGAAATGGCAAGCTGTGATTCTGTTTGTTTTAAGTTTTAATTAATATGGTTTTAATTGAAGTTTTTGAAAAGTTCTTGGTACAGTAATGAGGATAACATGTATTGATAAACGGTCTATTTACTTTAGGTTTTTGTTTTATATTTTTACATATTTGTTTCCATGGAATCAGAATTTCTTGTAATTCTATAATGTGATATACATCAGAAAGTCTTTGGCTTTATGAAGGTCTGTGAAAGAGAATATTAAATTGGTGCAGGTAGTTGCACCCACTTTTTTCTTTTGCAATTGAAATAGTTTTGGGAATTCTTTGGTAACAAACTCTGTCCTCCTGATAAATCTCTTTTTAAACACAACATTTTAAGATCCAATTTAAAATGTATTCCTTTCTAAGTTTGTCATTATGTTTTTGTTTGTGCATAGGAATGTTTTTAACGATTACCCAGTAGTACACTGCCCTACGTTTGATTTTCTATCTTTTGATAAATGGTTTGTAAATTTTCATTCCTGTCTCTCTCATCAACAGGTCATGGTCTTTTCGGTTCCTTTGAGATGTTGTCATCGTGGAGGCGAACTCGGGAGGAGCAGCATGTGAAAGAGCGGGTTGCAAGCGTCTTTGAAGACGTCATGCTTCGTTTCTCAGGCTCCACCATGATCCACTTGATGACTTTAGGGCTGGCTGCCTCGCCACTCACCAACATGGAGGCAGTCCGGCTATTCTGCCGCACTGCCGCCCTTGCAATTGCCATAAGCTACATTTACATGTTGTCCTTTTATAGTTCCTGTCTGGTGTTTACAGGCTACTTAGAGACAAGGTACAGACATGGCTGCTTCTGCCGGCGAGTACCTAAACCAGACAGGCTGGACTCAAAGCCGGCTTGGTACCGGTGTTTGATGTACACTCGTTACCAAGAAGAGACACAATCAACCAACCCACCTCATAGAGTTGGTCCAATTCATGTGCCAAATCCTAACCTGACCTATGTGGAAACACAAATTGCAAACAGCCCTGCTGTGGATGGACACATAGCTAACTCCATTCAAACACATTCAACTCCCCCTACTCATACAACAACAATATTGGATCCTCACCCTCTGGACTCCCATTTTTTGCTGGGATGTGTACGGCACTGTTATGGAGACTGGATCACTAACACTTACGTCAAACCCTTTGTAGTTTTACTCTATTTGGTCTACATCTCCTTTGGACTGATGGGCTTTCTCCAGGTGAGACACAAATGCCACCCAACTGAATTGATGTGGATGGTAGTTGAAACATTTTACAAACCTGGCACTTGTTAACACCTTTTGTAGAAAAAACTAGATTTTGAGAATCAAAAAAGGGAAAATTATACAACTAGGTAGAGTCTTATAAATTGCTCGAGCAGAATCACTTCCTTTGCCATAGAGGAGAACACAACACTCTTCCTTGAGTTTTGATGTGTCATTTTGTCATTCTGTTAATTGCCAGTGAAGTGCCTGATATTTCAGGAATGTAGTTGGAACTGTTTTTTTCCCAACTGCCATACTGACCCGAATATAGGAGGACCCTGATTATAAGATGATCCCTTCTTTCCAATAGGGCCTACCAGTTTTTCGGAACAAAGGAAAAAGACAAAGCAAATTTGATTAAATCTGATTTAAAGAAACTATTTTTATTGAACTGCTGAGAAAGTCATTGTACTCATATGTTCTCTTGAAATATTTGTCCAGTTAAATTACATTGGAAAGTAGATAAACACAAAGTAATGACACATTTAATTGAAATCTTGCAACACTTATACCCAAATGCAATCTGAACTTAAATAAAGTTTCAAAAAACAACATAAGGCTTTTACTCACAGACATCATCTTCCTTTCGGTGCTCACTGTCACTCCCACTTTCACCATGCAGTCCCGTTTCTTTCCACATAACATTATCCTCACTACCAACCAATACATTTGAGATGCAGCACTTTTTGAATCCACTGATGGTACTTCATCCCATGCATGGGGGATTCATAAACAAAGCTGGCGTACAGCTGGCTTTTGGATTTTTCGAGACAGTGTGAGCGAGTAGTCACCTGACAGGAGCCACACGTTGGACCTTTAGAGCAGATTATCCTTTAAAGGCTTGTTAACCACCACATTCAACACCTGTAACTGGCTTGTCATTCCTCCTGGTATGATTACTAAATTGCCATTCATCTTCCTCAGCTGAGTTTTGACAGTATTTGTCAGTTGTCCACAAAAGGCATCCATGATGAGCATGTTTCTTGTGTTTTTTTAGAGCTACATGCCGTCGTCCCCACACCACTTTAAGCTAGTTTACTAGAAGTTCACTCTCCCTCCAGCCCTTTTCCGTGGGCATGAACAACAATGCCAACTGGCATCACCTCTTCCAGCACTGTTTTGCATTTGAAAAATCACATAAGAGGGACAACATTGTTCCATCTGCCAGACATGTCAGCATCACAGTGACCAGACACTTTTTTGTTTCCAGTTGATTTCACAATAAGAAATAAGATTCTCAGATTTTTTGTGCACAGTCACTGGTGTAGGCATGTCAGAAACACAAGGGTTTGGTTGGTGTTGCTGATCTGCTCAAGGGGTGTGAGGGTTTCTATCTCAACCCAATCACATACCGCTGAATAGACAGCAGCTTCACTCCAAAGTCTGATGACAGGTGCTGAGCCAGGCTAGCTCTGGTGCATAAAGCAGGGCTGCTGCGGCACCAGCTGATGCTGGATTTAAACACCATGCTGGGTATGGTCAACTCCTTATCAATGTCCAGAGCTTTCAGCTGATAATGGCTCTGGTAATGGACATGCCTTTATTACGTGTCCCAATAACAAACTGACATACCCTGCTGCCGATTTCTTCAAAACGACCACTATGAGGACCAGTCAGACTGTTGTTTGATGCCTCCACTGCATTGACTACCATTATTATAAAATTGCTGTCATAACTCTGCCTCAAATGTCTGCAAAATTATCTGATTTTTGATACACTTTGTCCTGGGCAACGACTCTTTTTTTTTTTACCATCCTTGTCACATCTTTTCTGTTGTGATAGATGGCTACAGCCACAGTGAGGTCACTGGCTTTACAAAAAAAACCCTCTCGGGCCGATAGGGTAGAAGGAGAACATTTCTTGTAGTTGTCTTTCAAACATTTGTTTGTAGCTAGCTATTATAGAATTCTACTCAACTTAAGAACCATCCTGATTCTATTCATAATATTACTAATATTTAAAACCCCACGACAAAAACGTAGTCTTTGCAAGTTTCAGAGGTTTGGCACATACAGAGAGAGAGATTTATTTAAAATGTCTGATATGTCACAGTTCCTGACATGATGGAGTGCCCGTCCAGCCATGTTTTGTGAAGTTGCTGTTGTTTCTAACTTTTAATTATTGCACTGAGTACATAAAGATAAAGGCAAGCTTCAGAGAGTACCTTTTCTCATAGCCATTATATTTTCAGATGCTACAAAAAACAAATTGGCTCCCCGTGTTATGTCATATGCAACCCCTATTATAACTTTAGGTGAATAATAACACAGATCAACTAACAAAAATGTTTAAAATGCAAAAATGCTTTTATTTGTCAGAAATGTCAATAAATATAAAACAATTTCCCAGCTCCTATTGTTTTTTCCTATGAACACAATCAGATAACACATTATTTCTATTTACTGTCCAATTAATATATTTCTGATCCCAACAGGTGACCCAGGGTTCTGACCCGAGTTCACTGGTCGCCATGGATACCGCAACAGTACTGTACACACGAGCACAGCAGCGGTACTTCAGCTCGTACTCACCAGTGATTGGATTCTACATTTATGAAAGTGCCCCCTACTGGAACACCACGGTGCAGCGGGACCTGTTAGAGTATGCCAAAGGCTTTCAGAGGATCAGCTGGCTTGAGGCATACCTGAACTACCTATCAGACCGCAACCTGTCCACCAGCCTTCCTCGTGAGAACTTCACACAAACACTGCGCCAATCTTTTCTGCGTGAGCCACAATTCGCCCATTTCGCTGATGACATCATTTTTGCAGATCGCGGCCAAGGGGAGGAGCCTGATGTGGCAGCTTCTCGCATCTTCTTGGTTGCCAAAACAACAGAGAACAAGCGTGAGGAGATGTCAGTGCTACTGGACACACTGCGCCGCTTGTCTCTCACATCCCGGGTTCGCTTCCTGATATTCAACCCCTCATTTGTTTACTTGGACAGGTATGCGACAGCAGTCAGCTCCCCCCTCAGACACTCACTACTGGCAGTGCTCTTCCTGCTGGGTCTGTCTTCTCTGGTCGTTGTGGAGCCACTGGTATCCCTCTGGCTCGGCCTTACCCTTCTTTCTGTCCAATTTGGAGTTCTGGGCTTTATGACTTTGTGGGGCGTGGAGATGGACTGTGTATCTGTGCTGTGCCTAATCACAGCTTTAGGGCACTCGGCAGACTGTAGTGGCCCCCTCCTCTGTGGCTTCACTTCAGGTCGTGGTGAAAGCAGAACTCGCTGGGTTCGTTTGGCCCTGGAACGACACGGCATTCCTTCATTACAGACACTTGTGTGCTACAGCGCTGCCCTGGTGCCTGTCTGCTCTGTGCGCTCAAACCTCACTCACACACTTTTCCGCTGCCTCATTCTGACAGCCGGCTGCTCGGCCCTGCACACGCTGGCCTTTCTGCCCACTCTCCTTACCTTTCTGCCCCCCTCCAAGACCAGGGATGATCAGCTGGGAAGGGATGGTCAGAGACAGGAGGTGGAATGTGTCGAAATGAATGACAGCACCAGAGTAGTGGACCAGATAACCACTGTTTAAGAACGTATAGGTTGGAAGTGCCAATATATTAAACAGAAACAATAGCAGACAGAAGAGGATAAAGGCAGGTCCTTCAAAAATGTATCTGTGGTTTCCTACTTTTAGGTAGGACTGTGTGGCATGTATTTTTTTTTTTCTCAAAACAATCACAAGATTGAAAATGTGCCTGGAAAAAAGACACTTTCACTTTAAATCTTACTTTAAATTGAACTTTTTATTGCCTACTGCTGTGTTATTTTTTGCCAGATAATTTTGCACAATTTCTGCTTCAGTGACATTAGGTTATCCCTGTATGACTTAGTATTTCTACTTTAATGCTGGACAAATAAATCAGAATAAGAAAACATTTTATTTACTGCTTTGCAATGTTTATTTCTGTGGATTTCACATACTAATGTGACACAATACTTTATATTAATGGAGCTTTTCAAATGAGCACATGCTTTGAGTCCTGAGATACAGCAGTCTACAACGATATGCTGATCCGTGTTTTTTGCTTCTAGTTACTAATTTAAATCACTCAGATTCTACAATCTACTTTATTAAATTCACCTACAACAAATCCAACACAGTAACATTTACTAGCTGTTTTGGCTATTTTCTACAGTTACTTTGTTTTAGCACTTTAGCCTTCAGAAGTGATTTTAGTTCACAAGATTAGGATCTAAAACAGAAAACTCTTTTTCAGTCTGAGGTGATTTAAGCTTTGTGATATGATGCATTAGGCTAACACCGAGTCTGATTTTGCATCCAAAAACCGTTTTGTAAAAGGTTGTGGTGTTTAACACTCATTGAAAATCAATGACACGATTTTCTGCACCTGGACTTGTGTAGCCCCGACTTAGATAGACCCCAAGTCTATTTTATTTGGACTACGCAGCAATTCAGCAGCAATTTCCTGGGTATGACAGGAAAAGATGTGCCCTCACAAAACAAAACACATCCGATTTTGGTGGAAATAAAAATATATTCTGTCAGTCACAAGGGAAAACAGTCAGGTTTAGAGTCGCACAGCACATACATAACAGACTGGGCAGATTCAGGCATAAAAAGAATAAATGAAACAAGTGGCACAGAGACAGAAATGGGGAAAAAATACGCACAGATCATGATCTGCTACCCTACGGGTAGTAGGAGCCTCTCTATATGCACTGCAGTCAGTCTGACATGGAAAAAAATGGATCGGAGAATAAAAAGCAATGTGATTGGGGCTTTAGACTGCAAGTAGCAATCAGAAGGTGGGAATCAAAGTGGTCATAAAAAGATGAACTTGGTCAGCAACAATACTCAGGTAGTCTTTAGTGTTTGAATTATGCTGAATCTATATTAAGAGGTCATCTGAGACCAAGGATAGAACAGATTGAAAGTTATTGAAAAGCACGTACAGTAGTACCTAAATGTGCAGTACATTTTGATTTCTATGCAACTTTTTCACCCTCTTGCATTATTGCCCCTCTCCCTTTTTTTGATATCACTTCATTCCTCGGGTGACCCAGTTTGGGCCAAGATTTATCATCTGACAAATGGTTTCAGAGTTAACTGTACTGCATTGGTTTATGTGTTAGTTTGCTTACAGTTTTGATTTAATTGCAAAGCAACCTAATGAAAGATCCCTAAAAAAAAGGAAAAGTCATCACTATTACAGCTTAAAACTTGGGTTTAAAATATATTGCAGATACAGTTCAATAAGCATTGTCTTGGAATTGCATCTCTAGAAATGATTCTGAATTTCTTAAGGATCATTTAGATGCAACTTTGCTAACATATACAGTACAGTATTTGCAGCCAGATGTTTAGGGTCCCTTCTTGAGGTGAAATCCTTATTCTTTTCGACTGTGAATTACTCTAACATATCTATTTTTAATTTGGAATCCTTTTGCAACCAAACCTTTATGCATTTTAAAGACAACAGCTAAGATCATATATATTTAAATTCCGCTTCTTCATTTACATAAGGAGGTATTTATATTACTAAACATCTTGTAGTAACCACATTTAGTTATATACTTTAAATGTGTCCATGCTGCAAATGAAAAAAAAAAAAAATCTGCCCAGTTTCTGGAGTTTTTAATCATCATTAATTCTGTTTTATTATTTAGTCAATATATAAAACATTCTTATCATGACTATGACATTATAATGATAAAAAATAAAATGAAACCCATTATTATTAGACAGTATTCGTTAACATTTGGTAACTGCTAGTGTTGCACCAATACCGATACCAGAAAAACATTTCTTACCCATAGACGGCCATCCTAAACTGCCAGATTGGGAAACATCCCAACCTGGCAACAATACAAATAAGACAGGAAACGTTAGCCTTTAGATGCAAAACCCCATCATGCAACACAACATATTTAGCCAAATATTAGAACATAAATTTGCCAAATATAAGAAGAACATTGTAGTTTGGTTTAAAGAGAGCATTATAGTTTTATTATAATTCAGTTGGTTGTAAGGATTTTACATTTTGAAGAAATAGAAAATCACGCCATATGTCAACCGTCACAAGGATGTGCATGAGAAGGAAAGGCTATATATACTGCCTGCATCATTCAGGTAGTTAACATTGTATTACTTCTTGAGCTCCTTGAGTTATTCACGGTCACAGGTAGGTGCTTCGGCCGGAGAGTAAGTGTCGGGGCCGGTATGATTTAAGGAGAGCCGGCCCTCAAATGGTGAAGTTAGGACCGGCCCACCAGACAAATGCCCGGTATCATAGATTACCAGTCCGAGCCTGTCGGTATTGACGAGTACCAACAAATAGGGCATCATTACCATTTTGAGAGCCAAAAGTTTATTTATTCAACTATTGTCACCCATTCCAGGTAGGCAATAAAAAGTTCTAATGGATTCACTTTGTATTAGTCTTTTTCCTGCTTCACAAAGGTAGGCAGCAGCTTGACAAAGCCATGATGGTGATTATTTCACATACAAGTACTATGCAGCTCTTCATATATACACACACACATCAATTCCAAACAGATGGTATCAGTATAATAATGGTCAATACTGCATAGCCCGGTATCAGTATCGTGGCCGAAAAATGCCATTGGCGCAACACTAGTAACTAGCTTTTATTTATATGTCCATAAAGGCTAACCTGTAATGGTTATATAAATGGTTATATGTCCCTTAGCAAACTGTCCCTCAACAATAACCTTTATAGACATTATCTGTCTGGAAAAATGTGTGGCATAATTTGTTTAACCAACTCACCAAGCTTACAGTTTTTCCATTTTCTAAAACTGTGCGCATAAAACCTCTGATCACTTTTGAGGTTTGTAGTTATTTGCAAGTGAAAGCTGAGGCTGTTCTTTCACAACAGTTTTTCTTCATAGCTGAAGTTGAAGGTTTGTGTGTGTGGGAGTTTTTGGCGTGGCTAATTCTTGATGCGCTTTGGCACAGTTTAGAATCAAACTGTTGCTCAGGCTCTAAGCAGATACCAGCCTTTTAAAAGGAAACTCTCAAACATCCAAACGTATGAGCATTAGTTGATGTTTTGATGAGCATGGCCTTGGCTATAGGAAAAAAAACTGCTTAATCATAGTTTGTTAAACTAATTAAAATGACAATGAAAAACTGACTGCTGCTTTAAAAACAGTTCCCACTGTAGACAGATACACGGTACAGCCTTTAAAGCAAATGTTTCTCCAAAGACATTTATCCCCTCACACATTACTTGTGTTCTAATTTGATGCCAAGCAACATTTCAAATGCTCAACAAAATTATTATCTTAGTAAACAAAGCAGTGTCTTTTATTTATAAAGGCTTTAAGACTCTAGAAAGTCACCATAAGAGCTATTATCAACAGATGGATAAAACATGGAACAGTGTTTGCCGGGAGGGTCCATTAACGACTCACCCAGGAGATCAAAAAAGAGCCCAGAACATCTGAAGAACTACAGACTTTATTTACCTCAGATAAGGTCAAGTACTAATGATTTCACATCAGGAAAGAGATTAGGGATGTTTTGTATTAATGGGAGCGCTCACCTGAAGTGGCTGAAAACAACGGCTGAACAAGAAAATATAAAGGACTTTCTAAAAAAAAATATATATATATATATATATCTATGGATGGATGGATGATAGATAGATAGATAGATAGATAGATAGATAGATAGATAGATAGATAGATAGATAGATAGATAGATA